TAAGGAGAGATGGTGAGTCATATGATGAGAGACACTAGAGTCAAAAATCCAGACAGACGAAAAAATACCTAAAGAAGATCCAAGCAAACTTGAATGAAGAGATGAAACAATGGAGGCAGACGAGGATGGTTGAGAGGTAGACAGTGTATGATGAAGTTGATTAATCCGAGCACGCAAAGAAACCAAGTCAGGATCATGAGCTAGAGCAGATATAGTAGAACCGGCGGGAGCTTGAAAATTATTCAGAGAAAAAGGGAAAAACTAGGTCCGAGGCTACTGAGAAGACGAGCTAAACATGCATCCCTTCTTAGGATAGTGATACTTCTAATGGCCCCTCTAATGGCAGAAGACACACTTATCCGAAACCAAAGACATCATAATAGTAACCAAAAAATTGTGGGGTTTAAGTGTAATGATCCAAAATAGAGCAAAATAGCCAAACCAAAAGTTCAAGTCTAATAACCAGAAAACTGATGGGTCAAATTGTAAATAAATGTTTTTTTTTTTTAAAATAACCAAATAACAGTGCTGACATAGGGTCAATGAACACTTTGGAACACACACATACACACATAGAGAGAGTAGTAGTAGACGAACCAAGGAGAAGAGAGAACTATTGATCGAACGAACCAAGGATGAGAGAAGACCGTCGATCGAACAACCCAGACGACCCACGAACTAGAGAGAGAGAGACGAGAGAGCCTTGAATCGTGACTTCAAACCAGGCACGGAGAACTATCGCGACTTCGAAGAAGACCAAAAAACAGCTTCGCGACTTCAGAAAAACCCAGAGAAGATTTTGAGCTTTGAATGATCAAGGCCAGGCCTAGGATTTCGAACATGGCTCTGACACCATGTAAGTTTTCTGAAAGCTTTTCTATATATTCAAAATGTATGTAATACAAAGATTACAACCAATATTCATAGCAATCCGAAACCTAATCTATAATAGAAAATAACCCTATACAATTAATCTACAATTAATCGAATATTCACAAATAACCTAATTGATATATTTCCATAATTTACATAATATTCTCACAATAATGCCTCCTATACTGATATATTTTCTCAAAATATCCTTAATATAGCTTTAATGTAATAATATGAAGAAAGTCATTACCTCAAATAATGAAGAGGAGTAAATTCGAAAGGCAAACTTAGCCTGATCATGAATCTAAGATCACCATTGCAAAGATCATGACGAGCTCTCCGACTTTCATTTACAAAATCTCACTCTAAGGACTCTCATTTGAAACTTAAAATTTGAGCAACAATGGAGAACAAAGAGAGAGAGAGAGAGAGAGTTGAGCTCTCCGCCAAACCAACAAAAGAAATAAAAAGAAAAAGAAAAGAAAAGAAAGAAGGGACAAGGAAAGAGGGAGGGGGCAGCCCCCTCGTCGGCTTGCCTTCTCAATAATTGGTTTCCCTCAAAATAATATGATATAATTTTTGTAATAGTACTTCAAAATTTTATAATATAAATTATAAAATGATATAATTTTTCTTACCACAAAATATAACATTTTTGTACATCACAAAATATAATTTTTTGCTTATTATGAAATATACACCCATTTTATTCACTATAAAAATATATAATTTTTCACCATATGGTACACACCATAATATCAACTATTAATTATTTATTATAATCTTATCAACTATGATACAGACCACTAAAATAAGACCACTAAAAGCAACTCTAATGACGTGGCATGCCTAAAAAAAAATTAAAATAGAAAGAAAAGAGGAAAAAGACAAAACACAAAGAGGAAAAGGACAATTTAATGCTCTTTTAGTGCTCTTCTTTTAGTGCTCTAAATCATTTTTCTAATCTTATATAATAAATAATAACAACTCCCGAGGTGGTTACTAGTACCAATTACATAATTAAAAAGAACCGAACAGTTAAACATGAGTCATTAAACAAACTTAAATTAAATTAAATCTAAATTATAGATCTTGAATTAAATTCTCACTCATAAATCAAACATCACCCAATTATATATCAAAGTAGACCCAACGAACTTTTCTCAAGTCATGGTCTAAACGCCCAAAATTAAAATTTAAATTCTGTTATAAATTAAACTAAACACCAATTAGTCCGTGAATTTTCATAAAATAAATACTCATCAATTAACTTCTGACTTTTTTTTATCCAACGTGCTAGACTCATATGAGAACAACATTTAAAAGTTTCATAATTTTCTGAGATCGGTAACTATTTTAAAAAAATACAAAACCGAACTGTTTTCGGTATATATATATATATATATAATGAACTATTTTTATACATAATTTTACAGAGTTGTCAAATCCAAATATTGCTCAATTAAATTATGCACTAACTATTTTAAAAGAAAATTTTGGATCATTACAGGTGAATATTAAAAGAATAGTAGATAGTTTGAGTGATGAATTAATTTAGAAAATTAATGTGTGGTTGAGATTAAGTATGAATTTTACCATATAAAAATTGAATATGGATCATATATTGTTTTTTTTATATATAATTTTGGGTACTTTTGTATAACTATAAAAAATTATTGTGATCACATGTTACTTATCATTTGATATATTATTATTGTATTACCGTAATGAATTTTATTATTAATGTCTATTATAAATGAGTGGTGAGACATCACATAATAAATAAAAATATGTTTTGTTGTTATTAGTGATAATATATTTCTTTATTTACCTTTTTACAATGTTCAAAAAATTAATTTATATTTATTGTTAATTTTTGTATATGAGAAGTCAAAAATAAATTTTAACCAAATTCAAGTTATAACTAATTTGAGATTGAAAAGGAAATTTCAAAAGAAGTTATAATTATATTTAATTTTAAAATATATTAAAAAAAATATAGGAAAAAATTGGAACTATAAATTAAAATTATCAAACAACCTAATTCTATGAAAAAATTTAAATGAAAAATTGATCAAATTTTAATTCATAACAAATATTTTTAATAAGTCATTAATTTTTTATTTAGGTTCTAACCTGATCTGGTCTTAAATAATTTTTCAGATATAAATATATTTTAATATTGATACAATCAATATTAGACATATTTTAAGAAGGGTAAATTATATCGATAGTCCCTACATTTTGTCTCTTGTGTCAATTTGGTTTTTGTAATTTCAATTAGTTTGATTTTTACCCATAATTTTAGATTTTGTATTAATTTGGTCCAATTGATATTGCCGGTTAAGATTTTTGAAAGAAAGTAGTTATTGAGTTGGTTGAGATTAACTTATTGAGTTGAACAAGTTTATAATTTTGTCTATAAAAGTATAATAGATGCTACTCATGTGTGTATTTTCAATAATAAAAAAAAAACAATTTTAACATTTGGACTAAATTGAGACAAATTATAAATTTAGGATCAAAATTGAGCAAATTAAAATTGTAAGGACAAAAATAACACAATAGTTAAAATATAGGGATTACCAATGTAATTTATCTTTTTAAGAATAAGTACATAATTTCTTAATTAATTTTGAAATTGTTAATAAATATACCAAACAAATATGTACATATTTCTTATATTTGTTAAATTTTTTTTAAAAATATATATATTTACCAATTAAAAATTAAATAAATAGGTAGGTCTATTAACTCATGGATTGGCCATGAACTAAACGATTCTCTTAAATCAAGAATTATTGGCAAAAAAAATCAATTTGAACTGAATTTTCTTTACTACTTTTTAGTGTTTAATCCAATATTAGAATCCCTAAATTAACTCATATCAGTAACGAATTGATAAATTATGATATAATTTAAATTTATTAAAACTAGAATATGACCTACAATTTAAGACGACTTTATCTTAAATAATTGTTTTATACATAAATGTATAGTTTTTTTTTTTAAAAAAAATTATATTTCAAACTTTTTAATAAGTATGCATAAAATAAGTCTATATTTCTTATTTTTATTATAAAAAAATTTATTTTATAAAAATTTATTTATTAATTTAATAAACAGATAGGTCAAATGATTCATATAAGTTGGGAATAGAACAAGACAATTTTTAATGATTAAGTGAAAAACAAGTTTGCGTAAATCTAATGTTAAGTCAAAATTTAATATTACAAGTGAATTTTAATTCATTTTTACATAAATATTATAACATAAGACAAATTACAAATTTTAAACTTCACAAACGTAAAAAAATTATTATATTGACAAATGAAATTTACTACTATCATTTGATAAATTAAATTTATGAAACTCATAAGACGAAATGTATTTATATTTTATTATAAATATAATTTTTGTGATTTATTTTTTAATTTTTATCACTTAAATTATGACATATATTTATTATTAAGAATTTAAAACATACAATTAATGAAATAAGAATAAAAAAATATTCTTTTATACATAATTGTAATAAAAATGAATAAAATTCAATTAATTTTAAATTATTTTTACTAAATATTGTAGATAAAATTTTTAAATTATTATTTAATTTTAAGAATTAACTTTTGATTATTTATTTATACCTCATAACACGATAATTATGCTAGTCTATCTATACTATATATTAAGTAAAAAGGAGTTTTTAACTCCAAGGCTTGTGGGGGCTCCAATCTCCCAATCTAAATTTTCTGATTTTTTGATTTAAAAAAAAACATAAATTTACCTTTTAACCCAAATTTGTGAAAATTTACATGTTCCGCAAATTTGTAAATAATTTTTGGTTATTCAAAAAATTTGTAAACAAATTTGCAAAAATTATGATTTTTTTAATGGGAATTTGTGAATAAATTTTCTACATAACATTTATTAAAATTTAATTGTAGGAAATAAATTTTTTAATGTCAATTTGGAAAGAAAAAATTTATGCTTTCTGTGGTTCAACTGAGTGAAAATTTTATGATAAAGTCACACAGGTAATGATAAAGTATGTACCCATAAATGCGTACATATCAAATTATATAAAATGTACATATATGCATGTGCATATATATATATATATACAAAAGGTGTTGGTATTTCATTGTTGGCGGGAAAAAAGAGGAGGAGGAGGAGCAGGATGAGCTCGTCGGCGGTGGAGCCAGAGGCACCCGATCTGGTGTGTCAGCTCGACAATGTCCAAGGCATGGTCGATGCTCTCACCTCCGTCCGCTGGAAACGCCACCAGGTTCCTATTCTTTTCCCCTTTCTTTTTCTCGAGAACCAAACTTACGAACAGAGTCCTAGGGTTTTAAATTTACAGTCTTTGAACAAGAGAGATAGGGTTTCTTTGATTTCAATTTGTTCGTGTAGGACGCGGTTGTGGAATTGTCCGAGCATGGCATAGTCTTGATTGTTGAGGAATCCAGATGTCTTCAGGCCAAAGTTTATCTGCAACGTGAGGTACTCATTTAAGATCATCTCCAATCCTTACTTGTACTTTTTGCTCAAATTGAGTTTAGGTTTGAGTAAAAAAATTTATTTTATATGAAGCACTCCAATGCATATACTCAAATTTGAGTAAAATTGCCTAGTGTTAGTTTTAGTGGAAGCTATGGGTTGGAGTAAAGGAGATTAGTGTAAAGTTTGGGTAAAATTGTCCAAAGTGTCAAGTTTAGATTGGATAGAAATTTGAGTGAGGAAATGGGTAATCATTGATTTGAGTAAAACTCAATTTGGTATAAGTTTGAGGAAAGGAGTGGAGGGAATTTTTATGATATTTTTTTCACTCAAATCACTTGTTTGGTTGCTGAGAAAATGCAGGAAAATTTGAAAGAGATCAATTGATTAGCTCCTAAAAGTTTTCGTTGTTGAGTGCCCTGAAAGAAAGAAAAAAAAAAAAAAAAAAGAAGAAGAAGAGAAAAAAAAAAAAAAAAGAAGAGGAGAAACTCCAATCAACTGAGTGTCAAAGATTCAAATGGTTCTTTATTGGCAACAAAATTACGAAGGATAGGAAGCATTACATTCTAAAGATTTAAAAAAAAAAATGGCTTCTGTTGGCAGCTTTTCATTCGATATGAATATACTGCACAAGGACGGCCTCAAAAAAAAATGGCTTCTGTTGGCAGCTTTTCATTCGATATGAATATACTGCACAAGGACGGCCTCGTTTTGGAGTGAGTTTGGGCCTCTTTGTTGACTGCATCAATGCATTTTCTGTTCCTGGGCATTCAAACACAATCGAAATCCAATACCCTGGGCCTGACATGCAGCTTCTTCTCAAGTATGTTCTCATTTGCTTTCTTCTCTTGATTTGTCTTGTCAGTTCTTTTTTAGACATTTCTGCATATGGAATGAATTTGGGATAATCATTGCAGATTTGATCTCCATTGTCTTCGTTGGTGCTTTTAATGGTTATTTAGGTCCTATTTTGCTATGACAATGTCTCGACTGTTTAAATGATGTGTGCAGACATTGTGTAGTCCATTTGAGTTTGGGGTGGTTTGCAGGCAGAGCTAAATTCATAAGTTCTACTTCATTTTAATAGCTGTGAAGAGTGCACTGGGCACAACCTTAGTAAAACATTATCTAAGAAGATCTTAAGGCTAATCACTATTTATTTTACCTTCATTATCAGGTAAGGAATCCTTGTAATATACATAACACACAAAAACAATCAATCAAATAATATACATCAATTTATTTTGAGTTTGGGGTGGTTTGCAGGCAGAGCTAAATTCATAAGTTCTACTTCATTTTAATAGCTGTGAAGAGTGCACTGGGCACAACCTTAGTAAAACATTATCTAAGAAGATCTTAAGGCTAATCACTATTTATTTTACCTTCATTATCAGGTAAATGGTTTGATTGCCCTTTTAATAGTTGTGTAGGTCCTGTTAGTTGTAAGACTTTTTTAATTTTTGGATTCTTATTCTCAGTTTGAATCATGGGCAGGGCTGTTGTGTACTCCATCCTTCGCATTTAGGCTGGCTTGTGGAAAATTTATAAATACTAAACACTCTGGCTACATCTATAAAGCTGTATTTTGAATTCACTACAATGTATTAGACTGTAGATTTTGATTTGTGAGGGACTGATGGAAGCAAGAATTAGTGGATTCAGTATTATCTCTGAAGTGCTTATATGTGTCTTCGCTCTTGTTATCTGTTTTCTGTTTTCTCATGTTAAAGCACTTGTATTGAATCGAGTATGAAGATGCAAACAATTTAGATACAGTTCTTTAGATGAAGGTTACTAATTAAAGCAAGTTGCTCGGCCATCTTGCTCACTCCTGAGTGACAACTTTAATGCTGGGCGTCACAAATGCTGGCTTGACTTGAAGACGTGATACATTCTTATTGGTCATTGGCCAACCTGCACCATGTAACACATATACCTAAGTTTTTTCCAATAAATAAAAAGGTTTTTATTTTTTGGCCTAGGCTGAGAATTCAAAGTTGCTCCAAATATTTGAATTAAAACCTGAAGTACACTAATGGCTACAAATGACCACGTGTTTATGATGCAAATGAGTTTATGATTCTTTCTGTATACATTACTTTAATCCTTCTCTAATGCTGCTTCTTCTTTTTAGATCTGTTGATTCATTGGGTGCTTGCATTTATGCTGAGATCAGAACAAGGATTCCAGATATGGTTTCATGGGACTACAACTTTGAACCTGCTGGAAGCACCCCACTCAGTTTTACTGTTAAGGTACTATTCAGTTTTTAGCAGCACTCATAAGTCATACCCAGGCTGGTTCCGTGGTACTGGATGTATGAGATAAGAATGTGCTTTTTATACACAATTATCTGCAATATTACTACATCCTGAATAGAGAATGGCAAAATTGGATTTTTGTAGCCAACCCTCATGGTTGGGATGTAACTTGTAAGTCTTTCTTATGAGTATATGTTGAGGATGTAGAGAAATTCATCATAACTACGAACTTCAATAATGTATCTTTTCCTCAGTTTTGAGAAGTCTACAAGGTTCTTGCATCATACAAACAATGAGTATGCTGACTTGTGTGACTGCTACGATGAGTCATGCCATTTTTTTCCCTTGGTTATTTCTTATATCTTCAACCTAAGGTTTGTCCATTGAGATATGCTTTTAAGCAATATGTAAAAAGGAAGGAATCATGTATGTTGGGAACATATGAAAGTATTCTCTTTGAAAATGAGTTCCATCTTATAGAAATGAAAGGAATTTCATGTTGCAGTATCTTCCTACTTCGTCAACTGATGTTATTTTATAATCAGGGCTTTATTGTCTCTTTCCGCTTTGCCTCGTGGCAGCAGCCAGACCTTTTTACAAACCAGACATATCCAACAAGTCAGTAAAAGACTTTCCTATTACTATTACCTTGTATCTGATGACAATATCAGATCAACATAGCTGTGATCATGTCTTTATCCCATCCTGTGGAGCATGGTGATGGATATTTAGCAAAAGAGAAAATTTTATTTCAAGCCCACATTCTCCACTGTGAAGATCCTGCAGACAAAATTATTTTAGTTGTCAAAATCCTAACAATTTAGGCTTCTTTGATTTCTTGGAAAGTACAAGGAAAAATCCGGGGGTTTCAACTAGTTATTAAATTCATATTACGGTTGACATTTTTATGCATTTATCAACTATTTCCTTCTGCAAGCAACGATTGGAATGGATGATTAGGCAATTCAGTATTTGATTCTACCATAATTGTATTTAGAGAATCTACTATATTTAAGGTGAACATAATGCTAAAATCTTGGTGTTTAATCCCTAGTCTGCAGCTTTGAAGGAAGCTATTGATGATCTTGAATGGCCTGGATCAAGTATCCAGATAATTTTACAACCAGTTCCCCCATCCGTTACCTTTAGAGGTGAAGGCCATGGCGACTTGCAGGTGTTGTTCAACTTCGGAAATAAGCAAATTTTTGTTTCCAGGATTATCCTTTTTTCCCCCCTGAGGTTTTGACCATTGTCTTCCTTGCAGATAGACTTCATGTATTATGTAAATACGGATTTATTGATTGCATTTCATTGTGATCATCGAGTCTCCTACAGGTACCTGTTGATACATTTTGAGTGATTACATAGAAAATCACCCCGTTTATTCTAATATTCGTTTGCCAATTGTTTACATTGATATGGACAGGTACAAGTACAAGTTTCTCCGTGCAACAACTTCAAACATTCCCGGTAGCGTCATCAAGGATAATAGAGGGAGCAAGTTGACTATTGGGAGAGGTGGGATGTTAAAAGTTCAGCACCTGGTTTCTGTTGCCAGACCATCTATTCCACATCCGCACATTGATTCTGCTGGCTATCAGCAACCTAGTCGTATTGCTTATATCGAGTTCTTTGTCAAGCCAGAGGAAGATGAAGCCACTGCAAATGACTCATAGGCTGCCTTGGAATGATTTGAAATTGTGTGCTCCTTACTATAGGGTGTAATTAGAAGAAAGGGAAGGGAAAAAAGAAGGGAAAAACAGGTGATTAGTAGTCACCACATTGTTTTCTGGGGAGCACCATTTTGTTTATAAACCCTATTATGATATCAATGCTTAAAAAAGTGTCTATTGTTTTTATATTGTCTATATGTTTTATGTTCATTTTTCTATCTTTATTATTTTATTTTATTTTAGCTGTTTCTATGACTCCAGTTTTGTTAGCTAGGTTGCCTAAACAGTGGCTGGCCATAATTTATTTATATTGCGTTGATGTTGTCGCTATGCAGACTTTTGGCTTAATAGCGGATCATGTAAGGCAATGACGGCCATTTGATTACAAGTCCTTGATATATGATGACTTGATGACATGAATTTTCATGCCAAAAAGGCGTTATTGGTTTTCTGATGCTAGCACAATGCTATTCTTCAAAATACCTATTCTCTTTCTGCTTGGACCTAAAAATAGAATCTAACTGGCATCTTCACTACCTCAAGCAATATTTCATTTATTTCTTTTTGTTTATAAGTGATTTATTTATTTATTATTTTTTAAAGGTCCTACAAGACTAGAAGATTAAAAAAGTAAGTAAATAAATAAATAATCTTGGCTATATATATAAACTAGTTTAATAAAAAAATTGCCAAAGACAAAGTTGCAAAAAAAAAAAAAAAAAAAGGCACCAGATTATTGGGTTTCATTTGTGGTTGATTTTTCTACTCATCCAATCAAACATGAGACCTGGTTCAAAAAAAAAAAAAATCAAACATGAGACAATTTGGTACAGAATAACTAGAAATCACTGGACATTTACCCAGGAAAAAAAAAAAATGAAGGACCACTTAAAAGTCATCCTTGCATTTGATGGTTAAGATGTCCAAGCTGCTCTCTGTTGTTTTGACTTCAGTAATACAAGATCCACTACCCTATTCAGAAGTAGAACTTGAATGGGAATTGTACTATAAACCCTAAACCCGGTGCAAAGCAAAAAGCCCCCCCTAAACCCGGTGTAAAGCAAAGCCAAGAGAGTATATCACACAAATCATTTGACAATATCCAAATAATGATATATGGAACAACTCAATGTACCTACCAATTATCATCCTTACGGTTATTTGTTATATAACCAGGAAACCACCGGCGAAGCAAAATGAAAACTTCAAATCTGATCAGGGATGGGAGGGTTGGAGCAGCTATTCATAAGGTTGCAAGTTTCCTTTTCTTTTTCTACAGCATTGGCAACAAAGCAGATACGATATAGCTTCAGACCACCACAGAGGCCATACCATTCCAGAACCAATGTGCGCATCCGATAAGGCAGCTGAACGCCATAGAGGCCCTAGTTGTTGCTGACACCTCTGAAGTCTTAACTACTTCAAGCATCAAGGCGTTACAGACACTGCGACACTCTGCAGTTGACAGAATACAAGCATCAAATATTTCGAACCAAGAAATATAGATGAATGAATTATGCTAAAACTAAAGGTAACCCATGCCATGATGTTACTGAGGAAAGGGACATATTTTACTTCTATTTAAGTAAAACTTTCACAGCAAATAGGAAGATGCTTACAAAACCAAATACAGCTTCTCTTCTAACTTCCAACACTTTTTATCAAGAAAATAGACAATACCTGCCGGAGTTCAGCAAGTGACCGGGCCACTGAATAATACACTCAGAGCCAGGTAAGAAAGATAAAAGGAAAATGAAGCTGCCCAACAATTTGATATACTAATCCTTCCCAAATCGATCCATCCAAATCAAGCCCCGAGGCTGCAACAATTCAACCAATAGAAATTTTCATAAAATTAAACCATTCAAGGAGAAGGAAATTTATGGCAAAGTATGGTAATGAGCATATGGACATATTGAGGGATAACACTGATTTTGAAAATGTAGTAAAAACTCATCCAGGCAATCCCTGACTTCTCCATACTTTTGACTGCATGAATTACACCCGTGCAAAATTGAGATATAACTTCATCAGAAGCTTCAAGATACTAGCGGAACTGCAGAACAAGGGTTGTAAATGATATCTTCTTCAAACACATGGAGTTTGTAGGCTATGGCTGATGATGGTTTGTGTTAAAATCTATCACCTACTTCACTCCACTAAACCTAACCCACTACACCACTACCACCTCCACTTCACCTAACCCACTACACCACTACCACCTCCACTTTACCTACTCCATCTACCACCTACTACCACCTACTCTTCTATATATAGGAATCATTGTAACAATCAATATAAAAGAATCAATCAATAATACATGATTTTTAACAGTTTGGAACCAAGTCAACCAACAAGCCATTGATTAGTTTTGATGCTATGCTGTTGTTTTGTTTCTACCTCAATGCATTCTGTAGCTTCCAGCATCTTTTCTAAACTCTCTGCACTTAAAAACAATGCCGTCACTAGAATAGCAGCAATATGAAGGAGAAAAAGAGATATATGCCTCTCATTTAACCACACATGCACACAAAAAAAATAAAATAAAAACAAAAATAAAAAAAATCATTAACTGGAATTAAGAATGTATCAAGAATAGGACGAAGAACATGAGAATTGTTTGACAAAACATGAAGGGTTCCTTTCACTTTTTCTTTGATAAATAATGACATATAGGCACACCACTAGGCATACAAGTTGTAAAAGAAGGCTACATTTCCCTCTCTAAACTAGAAAAACCAAGGAACTTGAATGTTATCGTTCCTAAGAAAAAAATAGTATCAAAACTGTTAAAATTTATCACCTACCACCACTACCACCTCACCTACTCCACTAAACCTAACCCACTACACCTCTACTTCACCCACTTACCTACTACACACTCACTCTCTTCTATATATATGAATCCTTGTAAACACAATAGACACCAATTAATAATACATCAATATATATACATAATTTGTTCTCTCTCTTTCTATATGTATTAATTTTAACATGGTATCAGAGCGGGTTTAGCACCTAATATTTTCGCTTCACCGGCGGGCGGCACCCTCACCTTAGCCGTCCGCCGGCCCTCAACCTATTCCGCTTATTTTCTACACATACCTTCACTATCGCTGTCATATTCATCACCCACCTTAGGAACTCCGGTATCCAAGTCCACCCCGGGTTGTTCGACGCCAAGTTTGCCCGAGCCGAAGCTGAGTTCGGCTTCGCATTCCCTAGCCCGAAATGCCGTTCAAGCGTTACGTCGGGAGGGTCGCCCTTGTGCACTACGGCCAGGACTATGGGAGGCTCGTCGTCATCGTCGACGTTCTCGACCAGAACAGAGCTCTTGTTGATGCCCCTGACATGGTGAGATGTCAAATGAACTTTAAGAGGCTCTCTCTCACAGACATCACAATTGACATCAAAAGGGTCCCAACGAAGAAGACACTAGTTGCAGCGATGGAGGCTGCAGATGTTAAGAACAAGTGGGAAAATAGCTCCTGGGGCAGAAAGCTGATTGTGCAACAGAGAGGCGCTGCTCTTAATGATTTTGATAGGTTCAAGCTCATGTTAGCAAAAATCAAGAGGGGTGGTCTGATCAGACAAGAGCTTGCAAAGCTGACAAAAGCAGAACGCAGCCTAAAAGCATACTCCATTTCTATGGAATCCCCAATTTTGTTATGAATTTTCCACTCTACACTCAAATACTTTCCCACCACCCCACACCAGCACTCACTTCCCTCTTTTATTTCTTTATTTAACACACTTTTCCATACTTTCCCATCCACCCACACCAGCACTCACTTCCCTCTTTTATTTCTTTATTTAACACACTTTTCCATACTTTCCCATCCACCCACACCAGCACTCACTTCCCTCTTTTATTTCTTTATTTAACACACTTTTCCATACTTTCCCATCCACCCACACCAGCACTCACTTCCCTCTTTTATTTCTTTATTTAACACACTTTTCCATACTTTCCCATCCACCCACACCAGCACTCACTTCCCTCTTTTATTTCTTTATTTAACACACTTTTCCATACTTTCCCATCCACCCACACCAGCACTCACTTCCCTCTTTTATTTCTTTATTTAACACACTTTTCCATACTTTCCCATCCACCCACACCAGCACTCACTTCCCTCTTTTATTTCTTTATTTAACACACTTTTCCATACTTTCCCATCCACCCACACCAGCACTCACTTCCCTCTTTTATTTCTTTATTTAACACACTTTTCCATACTTTCCCATCCACCCACACCAGCACTCACTTCCCTCTTTTATTTCTTTATTTAACACACTTTTCCATACTTTCCCATCCACCCACACCAGCACTCACTTCCCTCTTTTATTTCTTTATTTAACACACTTTTCCATACTTTCCCATCCACCCACACCAGCACTCACTTCCCTCTTTTATTTCTTTATTTAACACACTTTTCCATACTTTCCCATCCACCCACACCAGCACTCACTTCCCTCTTTTATTTCTTTATTTAACACACTTTTCCATACTTTCCCATCCACCCACACCAGCACTCACTTCCCTCTTTTATTTCTTTATTTAACACACTTTTCCATACTTTCCCATCCACCCACACCAGCACTCACTTCCCTCTTTTATTTCTTTATTTAAACCACTTTTCCATACTTTCCCACCCACCCACACCAGCACTCCCTTCCCTCTTTTCTTTCTTTATTTACAACCCTTTTCCACGGCAAGTGCGCCAGCCCTTTTCACATCATTTTTCATTACTTTTTTTATTATAAGACCACATAAAAAATAAATAAATAAATAAATAAAATACAAACAAAACACCATTGCAACCAATTTATTCCTCTCAAAAAACAACCCCGATCACATTTTTACACACAAACCACCCAAACAACACAAAAACCAAAAAAAAAACAAAAAAAAAAAAAAAAAAAAAAAAACCAAACAACCACCTC